AAAACAGCTGGCAGCCTGCCCTCGGCAGGTCTTTAAAACAGTTGACAGCCTGCCCTCGGCAGGTCTGTAAAACAGCTGGCAGCCTGCCCTCGGCAGGTCTTTAAAACAGCTGGCAGCCTGCCCTCGGCAGGTCTGTAAAACAGCTGACAGCCTGCCCTCGGCAGGTCTGTAAACAGCTGATAGTCTGCCCTCGGCAGGTCTGTAAAACAGCTGACAGGCTGCCCTCGGCAGGTCTGTAAAACAGCTGACAGCCTGCCCTTGGCAGGTCTTTAAAACAGCTGGCAGACTGCCCTCGGCAGGTCTGTAAAACAGCTGGCAGCCTGCCCTCGGCAGGTCTGATAAAACAGCTGAAAGGCTGCCCTCGGCAAGTCTGTAAAACAGCTTATAGGCTGCCCTCGGCAGGTCTGTAAAACAGCTTATAGGCTGCCCTCGGCAGGTCTGTAAAACAGCTGACAGGCTGCCCTCGGCAAGTCTGTAAAACAGCTTATAGGCTGCCCTCGGCAGGTCTGTAAAACAGCTGACAGGCTGCCCTCGGCAGGTCTGTAAAACAGCTTATAGGCTGCCCTCGGCAGGTCTTTAAAACAGTTGACAGCCTGCCCTCGGCAGGTCTGTAAAACAGCTGACAGCCTGCCCTCGGCAGGTCTTTAAAACAGCTTATAGGCTGCCCTCGGCAGGTCTTTAAAACAGTTGACAGCCTGCCCTCGGCAGGTCTGTAAAACAGCTGACAGCCTGCCCTCGGCAGGTCTTTAAAACAGCTTGCAGCCTGCCCTCGGCAGGTCTGTAAATCAGCTGACAGCCTGCCCTCGGCAGGTCTGTAAAACAGCTGATAGGCTGCCCTCGGCAGGTCTGTAAAACAGCTGGCAGCCTGCCCTCGGCAGGTCTGTAAAACAGCTGACAGCCTGCCCTCGGCAGGTCTGTAAAACAGCTGGCAGCCTGCCCTCGGCAGGTCTGTAAAACAGCTGGCAGCCTGCCCTCGGCAGGTCTGTAAAACAGCTGGCAGCCTGCCCTCGGCAGGTCTGTAAAACAGCTGGCAGCCTGCCCTCGGCAGGTCTGTAAAACAGCTGGCAGCCTGCCCTCGGCAGGTCTGTAAAACAACTGACAGCCTGCCCTCGGCAGGTCTGTAAAACAGCTGACAGCCTGCCCTCGGCAGGTCTGTAAAACAGCTGACAGCCTGCCCTCGGCAGGTCTGTAAAACAGCTGACAGCCTGCCCTCGGCAGGTCTGTAAAACAGCTGGCAGCCTGCCCTCGGGAGGTCTGTAAAACAGCTGGCAGCCTGCCCTCGGCAGGTCTGTAAAACAGCTGGCAGCCTGCCCTCGGCAGGTCTGTAAAACAGCTGACAGCCTGCCCTCGGAAGGTCTGTAAAACAGCTGGCAGCCTGCCCTCGGCAGGTCTGTAAAACAGCTGACAGCCTGCCCTCGGCAGGTCTGTAAAACAGCTGGCAGCCTGCCCTCGGCAGGTCTGTAAAACAGCTGACAGCCTGCCCTCGGCAGGTCTGTAAAACAGCTGGCAGCCTACCCTCGGCAGGTCTTTAAAACAGCTGGCAGCCTGCCCTCGGCAGGTCTGTAAATCAGCTGACAGCCTGCCCTCGGCAGGTCTGTAAAACAACTGACAGCCTGCCCTCGGCAGGTCTGTAAAACAGCTGGCAGCCTGCCCTCGGCAGGTCTGTAAAACAGCTGACAGCCTGCCCTCGGCAGGTCTGTAAAACAGCTGGCAGCCTGCCCTCGGCAGGTCTTTAAAACAGCTGGCAGCCTGCCCTCGGCAGGTCTGTAAATCAGCTGACAGCCTGCCCTCGGCAGGTCTGTAAAACAGCTGATAGGCTGCCCTCGGAAGGTCTGTAAAACAGTCCCAGGCACACCCACAACTCTGCAGTGCCATCATCAATTTAATTGCCTTAAAGTCCACAGAGGATTAAATAGATACAACAGCATACATTACTTTACAGCCATGCATTAATTCTATTCAGTTCATTTCTATAGCTCCAATTCACATCATGTCATCTCTAGTCACTTTATAGATCAAGATCAACCAGATCATCCTGTCAGATTGGTTCAGAGTAGTAACGAAAACCAGCTGACTGCATCGACTCATTGACTTTTCAGCAATCCCTGACACTAAGCATGCCTGCAGTGGTCTGTTGGTGTACATCTAAAATAAGCTGTAAATAGAAAAATAAAAATGTCACACTTAATTTTTTGTTGTTGTTATGTGAGCTGGTTTGTTATGTCAGGTAATGTGAGGTTACACCATTTCTGTCATGTTGGGGTCCTAACCCACATGCAGAAACACTCTCAGGAGACAGGGAAAAAGTTAAAAGATTTATTGACAAAGTTTACAGTGAAATGTGAACGGCGTCTTGGCTCATCAGGCTGGTCACGGGAAGGAAGCAACTAGAGGAGGACAGGTCGGTTAGAGTGGATCCAGGAAACTTGCAGTTTGAACGGCGGTTTGAGTTAATACCTGCTCAGAGGGTATTCTGACCAGCAGGGGGGGAACCTTGAGGGTCCAGAGGCTGATTGGCAGGCTGAGGGCAGAGGCAGAGACGGAGGCTAAGGCGGAGGGCAGACAGGCAGGTTCCAGGCAGCTATAGTTCTCTCCAGGATTTCACTGATAACCAGATAGTCAGGACCTGAGAGGCAGAAGAACACAGGGTCAGACAGGTTTTCAAAAAATTCAGAGAAACAGATCAGAGTTAGCTGGCTCAGGTTTGCTGGTACCATTACTGGCAAACACTCTGGCAGGGAAGTGTCAGCCTCCTCCTCCTTAAGAAGGCCTCATGATGAGCAGATGGGAAACAGGTGTGCAGAAGTCAGCTCATGCTCTCAGGAGGAAGATCTCAGGCGCCCTCTGGTGGAGAAAGGTAGACAAGCCTCCAGATCCCAATAATTTCTAAAATAAAATGCTTTTTAGCTGCTTTCCCCTGGTGGAAGCCCGCCCTGATTTATTTTTTAAAGGTATTTAATTTATAAATTTTTTTAAAAGACCCGCCCTCTCCACTTAAACAGAATGCACATGCACAACCCTGTACCCTTTACCTCCCGCACGCTCTGTTTAGAAGTTGCTGTTCTCATAGAAGCTTACTATTTCTGAATGTCCCTCTTAACCCCTAAATCCCTCCATCACTATATAGACCGGGGACTAGATAGTGAACTTCATGGTGAACTCAGCTAACTGACCATTCAGACAGATGATCACTACTTTTTGCTCCTCGTTGGTCCACTGCGAGGTGCCTGCGCCATTTTTGTTAGCAGCAGCTGTTGGGTAGCGACTGAAATATCTGCCTCCTCTGAGGCATTTCTTTTCTTCTTATACACTTCGTTGACCTTTTTTCCTTTCTGACCCTCGGCCATTTTCAAAGAACCGCGGTGAGAAAGGTGAGCTTTAATGACTGAAACCGTTGCTCACCACGGATATATGCCTGAAGGTCTGCATGGGCAGCATGTAGGATGGCCTTAAATAAACATATGACCAGAATGATTGACCGTTAGGAGGAACACTTATTTAGATGATCCATCTGGAAATAAATGATTGTCCTCTATACCTTTAATATATTCCTTACTATAGAATACAATGGGTTTTAGTTTATATGTCCAGTTTAAGTGTCAAAAACACTTCATTGAATTGTTTTGATTGTGTACTAAGTGATGTTTATTTTATCAATGTGATCTGGTTAACCTCCATTTAACTGTCATTCTCCTTTTAAAAAATGGTGAGTATGAGTCCAGAAAGTAAAACACCCAGCTCTTTTAAAAAACACTCACTGTGACGGTGGAAAAAGCCAGAGGCAGTTTGTAACGCTTGGTGTAGAGAGGAGCTAAGGTTTGGAAAAAGCAACAATGGGGAGGAAACAAGACAAGGCAAGCTAGGGGTAATGGCGTCAGAAGAGGGGTCAGAGAGTCGATATGAGCATCTGATATTGACAGAGCCTCTGAGGAGTCAGCCAAGGCCCCCGGTGTGTGTGTGGCCTTCTTTCTACTACATTGTGGGGACCTCGGTCAGGTCCCTTTAGGGGAGATTGCTGTTTTATGGTTAGGTGTTAGGTTAGTTTGGGTTGGGGTGAGGAATGAGCCTGTAATGGTTAGGGTTAAGTCCATCTGGAACAGAGGAACCCTGCATGCAGTTACCTTATGGAGTGAAGTCCAGAGCAGCTTTCTCTGATTTCTCTTTAATTAAGACGATTTTTCTCGAGTGTTCTCTGGTTGTTAGCATCCGTGTTCATCTGAGGCCCATCTGACTGTTAAACTCTCAGGGCGTGAGGTGTTACGGCCTTTGCTCAGACACACAGGCAAACATAGACGCAGACACAGGCCTAGTTAGAGCACAGGAAGCTAGAATGTGAAGTCCCCCAAACTGCTGCCTGTGTCCGAGCAGGAACCTCTTCTGTTCCTTTCTTCTCTTTCACGTTTCTCCCTGTTCTTTCTTTATGTCAGCATAATCCTACATCTTCCTACCTTTTACTTCTACTACTATGAAATGGAAATAAAAAAAACACTTCAAAAAACATCAATGATGTACAGACAAAAATAAACCATCCTTTCAAACATGGAAGAAAAAATTATAACAGTACAAAAAACATGAGAAGAAGAGCAAAGTCTCAACATGTGCTAAAAACCAAGGAGTAGAAATGTGTGTTAAAGCGAGTTTAAGACGTGGAATTTAAAAGCTGGAGTTTGGGAGGATTAATTTTTACTCCGAAAAATTTCAAGACATTTTCTAAAACACCAGGAAACCTTTTACAATGAAAGGATGAACTCTAACCGGAGAACAAGGCTACATTGTCGACTTTAAAGAAGATTTGACATATTTGCACTTTTTTTTAGTGGTTTTTCAGTTAATAGTTTTTTCAGTTAATAACAGAATTAAATTTAAACTATATTTGCAAAAAGTTTAGACAAACAGACAGCACATGTTGCTGAGATTTGTTATGTGTGCAGATACATTTGGATGTTAAAGTGATTTAGGCCTGCTTGCTGTTGGTCTAGTTAAAGTAATTTCTGTTTCAGTGGTGACCCTGTACTCCACCCTGGGGGGTCCAGCCATTGCTCATGGACTGAATGAGGCTCAGGTCACCCATATTATCACCAGCAAAGAACTCCTGGAGAACAGACTGAAGGTGATGACGTCGTCTGAATAAGGGAGGACTTTGACATGATGGCGGATTTAGAGGAGTAATGACACCTAGTGGTTAGGCAAGACTATTGCATGTTATGTCTATTTGTATTTGCAGAACTTTTTAAGACAGTAATCAGGTTTGGCTTTTTAAATTTTCAACTTTTAGATGCTTATAAAAACAGTAAAGAGTGAGAATATTAAATACATAAATAAACCTAGTTCATTTTTTCTCTGTCTAAATGTTTACAGCCTTATACACAAGTTGCTCCTTTTAAGTCATGAAAGTTTTGTTGTTCCATTTACATTTAAATGTTATTTCTTTATTTATGCATAACAGGCTATCTTGCCTGAGGTTCCAAGATTGCAGAATATCATCGTGGTGGACAACACACCGACCACATGGCCCGACTATCCTCGGGGCATCAGCATCTGCAATATGGCCACTGTTCAAAAGCTAGGAGCCCAACCGGAGTATGGTACGTAATCTGATCATCTGATGTTTCCTTAATGACATAAGAAAATTCCACTTTCAATTCTATTCAGTTTATTTCTATAGCTTCTATTCACATCATGTCATCTGAGGTCACTTTATAGAGACGATTCAACCAGATCATCCAGTCAGATTGATTCAAAGTTTTCTATCTAAGGAAAACCAGCTGATTGACTCATTAATACTTCAGCAATCCCTCACACTAAGCATGCTTGTAGCGACAGTGGAGAGGAAAAACTCCCTTTGAACAGGAAGAAACCTCCAGCAGAACCAGGCTCAGTGTGAGCGGCCATCTGCTGAGGCCCACTGGGGTTCAAGGAGACAGAAGCAGACATAGAAAAAGAAGCATAGATACAAAAGGCAACTGTCAACCAGCTCCACAGGTGGCCCCGTCCAGGAAACACACAGCCAGGCAGACGAGCTCCGAGCCAGCTCCCATGTCAGAGGATGAAGAGAGCACATCCAGTTAGTCACAGTCAGAGAAACAGGACTACACTGGAAAACAGGCCAAGCTCCAACATCTAGAAACAAAGGTGTTGATGGCAGCAGCACAGCTGATATTTCTCTCCAGGATGGAGTCACAGCCAAACAGGAACAGACCAGATGAAGCTACGATGAGAAAAAGCAGAGAGAGCAGAACTAACTAGAAGCTTTATCAAAAAGGAAAGTTTTAAGCCTAGCCTTAAAAGTAGACAGGGTGTCTGTCTCACGGACTAAAACTGGTAGTTGGTTCCACAGGAGAGGAGCCTGAGAACTAAAAGATCTCCCATTCTACTTTTAGAAATTCTAGGAACCAGTACAAATTTTCCTTTTTTTTTCATCTGAGGAACATTGCAAAAATTAGCAATCTCCTGTCCAGGGGTGATGCTGAGAAACTAGTCCGTGCATTTGTTACTTCAAGGCTGGACTATTGTAATTCTTTACTATCAGGAAGTCCACAAACTGTAGTTAAAAGCCTTCAGCTGATCCAAAATGCTGCAGCCAGAGTTCTAATGAAAATGAAAAAGAGAGATCATATCTCTCCTATCCTGGCTTCTCTTCATTGGCTTCCTGTTAAATCCAGAATAGAATTTAAAATCCTCCTTCTCACATATAAAGCCTTAAATGGCCAAGCTCCATCTGATATCAGAGATCTGATTGTTCCTGATGTTCCTAACAGAGCACTTCGCTCTCAGTCTGCAGGTTTACTAGTGGTTCCTAGAATTTCTAAAAGTAGAATGGCCTGGTCAGGGTTATACATTGAGATTACTTGTTGTCAGCTGACACTACAGCAATAAATAATTGAATTGTTTTTCATTTTCATCATAACTCTTGATGAGTATTTTTGATCAGCTAGAGGCTTTTTACCTAAATAAAGTCCTAAACAATAGGTGGCAGTTTCATTGCCGTTTCCTTTCCAATCTAAAACTTTTATCAAACATAATCCCTCTGATCCATTTTGTTTGGGTTACATTTTCTGATGATTTACTGAATCTGCCGCTAATTAAAAAAGTAAACGTCATGGGGTTTCTGATGGGTATCAGGGTGCGGATGAATTGCTATGAAAGGTCATGTGAATGAGGAAGTTCTGACATCTGTGTCAGATTAGGTTCGATAGCAAACATTCTGTTCTAGTGGACGGATGTGAAAGAGCCATTGCTTCCCCATCCTTCCCCTCACTCTGCTCGCCTTTTATAGAAGCCCTTTGAGCCAGCTGACCCACAGCATGACCAGCTGCTAATGTCATGCACGGATAAAGAGAGAAAGAGGTAGGATTAGGAAGGGAGTTTGGAGCGCTGGGATCTGGGGGAGGGTAATGTTTACACACAGCGCTGTTAATTTCACATGACATCAGCTCTCTGGATGTTGATAAATGGGGGTAAGCACGGCGACAAGACACTTTATTTTCTCTTTATCACCTATTTGCTTTCTGAGATTCCTAACTTCGGATTTTTAGACATTAAAAAGAAATAATAAATATTTGCCAAATAAAAACACATTTTTGTCACATTATGTTGTTTATAGACTAACAGAAAAGTATTTTAGCTGATAAATCAGTGCAGCTATCTGCAGAGGCATTCAGGCGCAGAACATTCCAGGAACATGACCTGGCATCTCATCAGAACCACTCACTGCTGTACGATGACCATTTTTCAGGAATGTATTTGAAACCTTTGATTGATCTGAGCTGCCTAAACAGAAGAGGCTTTAAATGTCTATTTACCGTCTTACTTTATGTTTTCTCCAATTCTAAGTAAAAATGGCTACTTTTTCAATCAAAACATTGATGAAGAATACCACTTTCCTTAATTTGTTTCTAAAAAAGTAACTTGAATTTCTTGTTTATGAAGTTCAAAATAATTTAGCTATAAAATATGTTTCCTCATATGAAGCTGAAAAGAAAGAATTTCTCAAAAGCTTTTATTTTAATGTTTCTCTGCACCAATCGTAGGGTATATTCTCATAGCGTTATGATTTTCATGGCCTTGAAAAATCTCTTGTCAAGAGTTTATTGTTTAGGAAGTAAGAAAAATTCTTACTGACGTTGAATGTAATGTGACCAGAAATCCAGTCTCATTGCGATCTAGAAATGGCTTTTGTGGCCTTTAATTAAATTGAAAATGTAATTTTGCTGCTCTAATTTATATCAACAAAATGATGTGATTTCACACAATTAGGTTAAACAGTGGCTCTCCAGATTCTGCAGTTTTGCGGGGACATTCTTGCTCATTTCGGGTGTGTGCGTGCAGAACAGTCGTGCCCTTACATCGTACACCCGTTATGAACTTTTGGATATTGGTTTACGAATTTCTGACAGTCTTGTGGACAACCTTGGACTCATTCCTGAGATAGCCAGAACACCTGAGGCTTTGCACTCTGCTCGGCCGGGCAGAAGTGCTCCCAGGCAGCACCGAGATCATAAAGTCAGTGCTTCTAAAATTTCACCAGCATGTTCTCTGCCAAACCAGGGGAATCAAAACTTTAGACCAGGGGTGTCAAACTCATTTTCAATGAGGGCCGCATCAGCGTAATTGCTGTTCTTAAAGGGCCAGATGTAACTTATAAATGTAACTAAATATAATTGAATGTAATGTAAAATAAATGTAACGACTCCTTAATGTTAAATAACTCATTATTTATTATAACTCATTCAAGTGACAATTACAGTTGCATAGAAAACAAATGCTTGCTTGTTGCTCTAACACACGTGTCACACAGCCGCTTCCTACCCAGTCCTCCTCATCGGTCTCTCCCCCTCCGCCCGAATCACTATCATCGATATTTTGAAGCGTTTCTAAAGCCTGTTTCGCTGTTAGGTTTCTTCTGAATGCCACTTTTTCCATATTAGCCAAAAAGTTCTAGGTAGAATGTTGGTTGCTAGGCAACGAAATTTACAATGCAACTAATTGAGCCGTCAAAATGGCGGTTGTGGGGGATCGAGGTAGAATTAACCATATTTATTTTTTACGTTTTAATTGTATTAAAAAAAAAGTGAAAATGAAGGAAATATAGAAACTGAAAAAGTCAGTTAACATGAGCAACATAAATTTAATTTTAAATATAGTTCTTTCCCTTTAAAATCTCAGAACCATCAAAATGACGGCTGTGGGAGTTCTAGCGGGCCACATAAAAGGACATGGCGGGCCACATCTGGCCCGCGGGCCTTGAGTTTGACACATGTGCTTTAGACCATGTTTACACAAACGTGGCTGGAGCCTACGTTGCGACACCCCTCCCCAACTGGGACAGTCAGATCACCTTACTTTGTTCCTCACCCCAAAATATGCACCTCTCATCAATTGTGTGAAGCCATCAGCGGAGACCATCAAGGTGTGGCCTGTGGGAGCAGATTTAACACTTCAGGAAAGGTTCCTACACACAGACTGGAGTATGTTTGCTTCTCAAGCCACCAGTGGCTCTCACACAGACATTGACTGTTACGCCTCCTCTGTACTGGATTATATTTATGCCACTATTGACAATTTTACAACCCAGAAGCAGATCGCCACAAACCAAAATCAGAAGCCATGGATGAACAGGACGGTGCGACTCCTATTGAAGACACGCAACACTGCCTTCAGATCAGGAGATGCACCAGCCTATAGCACAGCCAGAGCAAACCTGAAAAGGGGCAAAGAGGCCAAGTACTGCTACAAGCTCAAGATAGAGGGACACTTAAACCCACTCATTACACCTCTGCAGCCACTGATGTCAACTTCCTGAATGAGCTGATTGACTTTTATGCTCACTTTGAAAGAGACAACAGCGAAACTGCCACCAGCTGAAATCCTCAGCTGACCCCCCGCCAATCACACTCTCCTCCACAGATGTCTGCAATGCACCGAGCAGGATCTGCATGCACAAGGCAGCTGGACCAGATAACATCCCTGGAGGTGTACTCAGGGCATGTGCGGAGCAGCTCACTGGGGTTTTTACAGTCATTTTCAACCTGTCTCTTGCCCAAGCAGCTGTACCAACATGCTTCCAATGCGCTTCCATTGTGCCAGTGCCTAAACACTCCAGCCCAAAGTGCCTTAAAGACTACCGCCCTGTAGCGCTCACACCAATCATAATGAAGTGCTTTGAGCGGCTGGTCCTGGCACACCTGAAAGACTTAGTATCATCCACATTTGACTCACACCAGTTTGCATACCGCAGCAATAGGAGCACAGAGAACACAGTATCCATGGCACTGCACTCACACATCTGGGCAATAAGAACACTTATGCACGCATGCTGTTTGTTGACTTTAGCTCAGCATTCAACATTGTCATTCCGGCGAAGTTATTAGCCAAACTTTAAGACCTGGCCATCAACACCTCCATGTGCAACTGGATTCTGGACTTTCTGACCAACAGACCCCAAAATGTCCGATCAGGCTCCAACTGCTTCACGTCCATCACACTCAGCACTGGTGTACCACAGGGCTGTGTGCTAAGCCCATTTCTCTACTCCCTCTTCACCCACAACTGCAAGACGGTGTACGCGTCTAATTCCATCATCAAGTTTGAGGACGACACCATGATGATCGGTCTCATCAGCAACAATGATGAGACTGCCTATAGGGAGGAGATCAAGCACTTGGCCACATGGTCCACTGAAAATAACCAGCTCCTCAACACCACCAAAACGAAGGAGCTCATCATGGACCCACGACACCATCCACATCAATGGAATAGCTGTTGAACGTGTCTCCAGTTTCAAGTTTCTGGGGACCCACATCTCAGCGGACATTTCCTGGTCAACCAACACCTCCTTCCTGGTCCAGAAGGCTCACCGGCGTCTCTTCTTCCTGAGGACACTGAGGAAGAATCAGCTCCCTCCACTATCCTGGTGAACTTCTATCGCTGTGCAATAGAAAGCATCCTGACCAACTGTGTAACAGTGCGGTACGGAAGCTGTTCTGTTGCAGAGTGCAAGGCACTGCAGAGGGCGGTGAAAGCCGCCCAGCATATCACTGGAACTTCACTACCCACCATTGAGCACATCCAGAAGAAACGCTGCCTACATGGAGTCCGCAGCATTCTTAAGGACTCATCCCACCCAGCCCACAGACTGGTTTCTCTCCTGCCCTCCAGCAGGCGGTTAAAGTGCCTCTGGACCAGAACCAGAAGACTAAAGAACAGCTTTTTCACCAGAGCTGTCTCTTTACTGAACTCAAACCCTCACTGATAGACTCTCCTCTCCCTCCTCACACCTACCTCCATTTTGTTATTCTGTTATTTACAAGACTGTAATGTTCATCTGCACTCCTGACTGTTACTATTGTAACAACTGTTTACATGCATCGTGCACATCGTGTACTCACCTTGACGGAATATTGATTTCCACTGCCGACTGCTTATATTTGCTCTGCCGACTGTTTATTCACAGCACCAATTGTTTACATATACATTTGCAATACTGTACTTTAACTGTAATATGCAATTACCTTCCACTGCTCTTTAATTTAGATACTTTCTGTCCACACTTTATTTATTCATTTTATAGTAAAAGCCATCTGTATATTATGCTATTGTACATAACTGTAAAAACCCTATTTATAGTAATATCCACCTGCATATTATATTCGGTACATATCTAGCTGTAAATTTTGTTCACAACACTAGTTATCTATATATTATATTCATAGGACAAATTATTATTAAAATCCTGTTTATAATGTCATTCATCTCTATATTTATTCAGTAGAAACTCATGTCCTGTATTTATGGAACCATTATTTGTCCAGCACTTGCTGACTTGCAAGTGCAACTCCCCCCCCCACCCCACCCCCCCAGAGACATAGACAGGTATGGGGCATTGCAAGCTAACATAGAAGCCAAACGACCCCCATTTTAAAGGGGTGGACCCGTTCATCCGTTTCTATTTGCATGTTTTTTAAACAATAACAAGGCTTTATTGGGCTCCTGGATAAAACCTGGAACTCAACATTATTTCTGACATTTGGAACTGAAAAAGTTTCTTGGATGGAAGAGAAACGTCTTCAAACGAGGAAACTAAGTCCAGAGGATTGATTTTGAACTTTTTGGAATGTCCATTTCTCAACACTTCTCAGAATCACTGCCAAGTTCTCTCTGATTTGGTCTCATATGAATAAGATCAAAATACAAATCCTGTTTATTCCACAGTCAGATGAGGACTTATTGCAGTTTTCTAGCTATTTATAAGGTTTCAGTTGCTGTTTTAATATGACAACAAAAATCATAGATATGATCTTTTTCACAAAAGAAATTATTCATTTAACAGATGCTTGTTTTCAATGTCACTTCAGCAAAGTTTGAGCGTAAGCCGCCTCTGTCATCAGACATCGCAGTCATCATGTACACCAGTGGTTCCACCGGCCTTCCGAAGGGAGTCATGATCTCCCATAGCAACATCATTGCCAGCATTACAGGCATGGCTGAGAGGATCCCCAACCTGAGGTAATGACAAATTAAATGACTGCTTATTTATTAATAATCCATGATTGTCTTTCATTTCCTGCAATGGGCATTTTGGTCATTATTGGAAGCAATATTTAAATTACAATATGATTTATACTGAAAACAACTGTAAAGAAGAAAACTTGATTTAAAAACAAAATAAACCAAAAAAACTGGCAAGTCTTTTCTAATTACAATTAAATTTATTAGGGAAATTGAATAAATGAAGTAAGAACTACGATGCAAACTCCACTGTTTCCAGTAAACACTGGACCAAGCTTGCTCCCATGGGAGTGTAGAGAAAATGTGATCAGGAGGCAGTCAAGCACCATTCAGGGATGATGGGAGTCCGACTGAAGGAGGTGGAGATTAGAGGGTTAACAGCCTCTTCTATCAGACCTCATAAATAAACATGTTTAAAAATGTACTACATTAGCAGAGGTCATTCCCACCAACACAAACGGTGCACGCAGTCTTACCAACGTATTTGTCTCTCTTGTACTTTTCTACATACTGCCGCATCACGCCTCCAAACTACAATGATTTTCTTATTAAATGATGTGACTGGCAAACAGTAAGTGGTGCCAATTTACAAAGTCGAAGGAAAAGCAAAAATGGAACCGGAACAAATATCTGGGAACTCTTAGCGATGCACCTCATCAGTTGATTCTTTGTGTATTTTTGTTCATAAACTCTTGTATTTTGGATTTTGAAGTGCATTTATTCTATACCTGTACAGAATGGGGACAGAACAGGATTTGAGCGCCATTCACACTTTCATTTGTTGTTCTAACATGCAGCCAGTAGGGGGCGTCTTCATCAGCAATGTATGAAAGTCTGAATATTACTTGATTAAAGAACATTTTTGTTATTCCGCTGTGTCACATCACACTTAAAATACTAGAAATGCTCTTTATCTTTTCCTTTACTTCAAAGTTATGTGATGCTTTATGTTGTTCATTAAATGAAATACATACAAATGACAATAAAGTTTGTCTTTGCAACAATGTTGGTTAGGTCATAGCCATCCCAAAAAGTTGTTGTTAGCCTTGCTGAATAGGGGTGGACTCAAACTTTAGCTTTCAAAAACCTACAATACAGCAATTCAGTTAATCTGTTCTCGCTATCATCGCAGCCCCACCCCCTTTACAGGGGAACAGAAGACCTCACCTATTCAGCCAGGCCAACTATTCCCTCTAACGCCCCCCTTTCAGAGACATAGACAGGTATGGGGCATTGCAGGCTAACAAAGAAGCCATACGAACCCCATTCCAAAGGGGGGGACCCGTTCATCCTTTTCTATTTGCATGTTTTCTAAACTAAAACCAGGCTTTGTTGGGCTGCTGGATAAAACCTGGAACTAAACGCTATGTCTGACACTTTGAATTGAAAAACCTTCCTGGATGGAAGAGAAACGTCTTCAATCGAGGAAACAAAGTCCAGAGGATTGATTTGAACTTTTTTTTTATAACTTTTTTTTTTACTTTCTGTTTGTAACTTTCTAAATGATGGATTATGTGACCGTTGTCTGTACTGTTTTGCATGACACTGGAAAAAGGGTTGTTCCAGAGTGGAATCTAACGTAGGTGTCCATTGAAATCCCATTGAAGTTCATTTCATGAGAACTGTGTCTTTGTGCTTATAGTGAAGAGGATACCTACATTGGGTACCTCCCTCTGGCTCATGTGCTTGAGCTGTGTGCAGAGCTTGTCTGCATTTCCCATGGCTGCCGGATCGGCTATTCCTCACCTCAAACACTTGCTGACCAGGTAACCCAGTCGAAACACCAACAATAAACTACTTTTAGCAGTAAAGCAGCATTTTTATGCCTTAATTTATCCTCAGTCATAATAAAAAAAGTCTTCAACAAATCAATCCAGTTAAATAAGGGAAATCAGTGGTAATTCACTCAATCAACACTTTATTAAATTTTGCAAAGAGGATGACCAGATGGATCATGAGACACAGCTTGATGTTCTGATCTAGACAAGGAGTTCATCAGTGAAAAGAGGAAAATGTTGAACAAACCTTGGGACAGAGTCCAGAATGATCCAGGATGATGCAGAATAATGATTGTTCCAAACAATCCTTAATAAAAAGAAAACAACTCCTCTCACCCAGACACTGTGCAGCCCTCCAGGTGTGAAAACTGTTAGAAGATAAATCACATATTCTCAAGGGATTTGTTAAGAAAAAACATTTTTTTAGACTAAACCTCTGTCCCTGTGATGGTAAGCTCAGTGTTTATAAGACGACTCAAGTGTCTGCAAACTCCCCCCTTTTGCCTTGGCTGTTAAACCACACTTATGATAATAATAATAACCCGCTGGCAGCTTTGTTCTCGCAGTTAGAAGAACAGTTTTACAGCAGCCCAATGTGAGGCCAGTGGCATCAATAGCTACACGCCATCACTGCTATCCCCACAGCTGATTATAGATCACCTTTGCAATCTGGGGGTTTATGACATGGAGTAGCCAGATAGAAAAGGCAAAGGAAATCTTTGTTTGAGGAGGAAAGGAAAAGATCTGGATTAGGAAAAAGAATTTAGTCTGTGGGGAGACAAACATGACAACATGTAGCTGTGGGGTGAGTGGCTCATGGAGGGCATTCAGTGTTTACAATGGTGCTATCTTTAAAATATCCTGCAGGGGGAGCACCATTTGAAAATGTACTTAGAGCTGCAATAAATAAAAACAATATTTGCATAACTGGGGCAGATATTCCATTTGTTAGTTCTTCTTTTCGGGGGAGGGTGTGCTTTCGAAACTTTTATTCAGCTGACATACATCACTTCTAACCTTTCTAAAACAACCTAGTGTATTGATTGAACATCCTGCATATCAGGAAACACACAGCCAGGCAGGAGAAATCCCCCACTATGATGACCCTGTCAGTATTTAATACCAAATCAGAAAGGAACTCTGAAAACTCATCTAAAAATTCAGAGTAAGGACCTGGTGGACGATACAAAGTTACAAAAAGAAGACGTTTTCCTGTTTTGCAATTTGGATCAGGGAAATTAAGGGTTAAATGATCAAAGAGTTGTAGGTATTAACTGTTTTGGGAGTAATCAGTAAGTCAGACTGGAAGATTGTTGCTACTCCTCCTCCTCGCCCAGAACTTCTGGGGATGTGAAAATTTAAATAGCTTGAAGGAGTTGCCTCATTTATGCTCACATAATCCTCTTGCTGCAGCCAGGTTTCTGTAAGGCAACACAAGTCAATGTGATTATAACAAATCAAGTCATTAACTAGCAGACTTTTAGAGGAAAGAGATCTTATGTTAAACAGACCACATTTAATCGTTTTAACTTTTTCCCCAATTGGAGTTATTTTGATTTTAATTAGATTATCATGATTTACTCCTTTGGGAATATTTGCTAATTTATTGGATTTTGGTCGTGGGCAAGACGCTGTCTGGATGGAGTAAAGAGTGGGTAACAGTAGAGAAGCTGCAGAGAGGTCTGTTAAACTACAATCTCTTTTTCGAGGCAGACCTGAGGATCAACAGCCCCAGATCCAAGGCCATGGTTCTCCACCAGATAAAGGTGGACTCCCCTCTTCAGGTCGGTGGAGAGTCCTTGTCTCAAGTGAAGGAATTCTCAGGGTCTTGTTCACGAGTGAGGGACGGATTGAGCGTGAGATTGATAGATGGATCGGTGCGGCGTCGGCAGTGATGCAGTTGCTGTTAAGGACTGTCATGGTGAAGAGAGAGTCGGAGTCGAGGGACAAAGCTCTGGATTTACCGATCGATCTACAATCTCACCCTCACCCATGATGATGAGATCTGGGTAATGACCATAAGGACAAGATCGCGAATATATGCGGCCGAAATGAGTTTCCTTCGCAGGGTGGCTGGGCGCACCCTTTGAGATTGGGTGAGGAGCTCAGTTACCTGGGAGGAGCACAGAGTAGAGTTGTTGCTCCTCCATATCCAAAGGAGCCAGCTGAGGAGGCTCAGGCATCTGTTCCGAATGCATCCCTAACCCTAACAATCCCTCGGGAGTTGTTCCAGGCATGTCCCATTTGGCTGAGGCCTGGTGGAAGGACCAGGACACGCTGGAGGGACTATGTCTCTGAGCTGGCCTGGTGTCGCCTCGGGGTCCCCCCAGGGCAGCTGGAGGAGGTGTGTGTTGATCGGGAAGTCTGGGCATCTCTGCTTAGACTGCTGGCTCCTCAATCCAGCCTCAGATAAGTGGAAGAACATGGATGGACGGAGTTATAGAAAGATCCCATTTTACAAACACTTGGGCTGCAGCTATGAGTTATTTTAGTTTTTTTTTCTGTTTTAGTTTTCAGTTTATTTCTATAGCTCCAATTCACATCATGTCATCTCAGGTCACTTTCCAGTTCACCACATCATCCAGTCAGATTGATTCAAAGTTTTCTATCTAAGGAAAACCAGCTGATTGCATCGACTCATTGACTCTTCAGCAATCCCTCACACTGAGCATGCTTGTAGCGACAGTGGAGAGGAAAAACTCCCTTTGAACAGGAAGAAAGCTCCAGCAGAACCAGGCTCAGTGTGAGCGGCCATCTGCTGAGGCACATCCAGTTAGTCACGGTCAGAGAAACAGGATTACACGGGAAAACAGGCCAAGCTCCAACATCTAGAAACAAAGGTGTTGATGGCAGCAGCACAGCTGATATTTCTCTCCAGGATGGAGTCACAGCCAAACAGGAACAGACCAGATGAAGCTACTATGAGAAAAAGCAGAGAGAGCAGAACGTTAGAGATTGAACTAACAGATTCTGCAGAGTGGGAGAATAGAGATAGAATGAAGCAGAATGATGAAAAAGGGGTCCCTATGTCCTCCAGCAGTCTAAGCCTATAGCAGCAGAACTATAGAGATAGCTCAGGATAACCTGAGCCACTCTAACTAGAAGCTTTATCAAAAAGGAACGTTTTAAGCCTAGCCTTAAAAGTAGACAGGGTGTCTGCCTCACGGACTAAAACTGGTAGTTGGTTCCACAGGAGAGGAGCCTGATAACTAAAAGATCTGCCTCCCATTCTACTTTTAGAAGTTCTAGGAACCACTAGTAAACCTGCAGATTGAGAGCGAAGTGCTCTGTTCATCATTGTTTAATTGTACAATTTTAGTTTTTGATTGATATGAACTTTGGTCATTTTAATATTTAACATTTTTCCATATACAAACATTTTTTTTGTAGTTTATTCCTCCAGGAAAGGGAAACTTATGGAGCATTTTTATGCATTTTCTAATAAGCAATAATCACATCCTGCACACAAAAAAACATGCTGAGGAAGAAGAACGAAGTGATGAAGGAATAAGTCCTGGTCTATAACAAGTATTGATAAACATCCAGAAATAATTCAATGCTCCACATCTCCAAGCATTTCGTTTGTTTTCTATTTACTCATATCTTTGTTAACAGTCAGGTAGATAAATTTATTTATCATAATAGCTCAAAAAGTAATCTCCCTGGGAGAAAGTACTTCATGTGATGGGCGTAGGTTTGCATAGGGACCATAGGGACATGTCCCTACCAAAATTCTGAACCGACCTAATTGTCCCTACCAATAATTGGATGTGAGCAACATGTTTATAATTTACAGCAGTAGTTGTTGCAGCAGTGGCTTCTTTTCCTCTCGCAGCTCCTCTGCCTGCTCTCTCCTGTCCCTTTCATGTAGCAGCGCATGGAACTGTGCTGCGCTGTTTAACTCAACTCTCATTGGTTGTTCTGCCTTAAGTTCCGCCTTCTCTCTTTCTGATTGGCTGTTTTCTAGTCCGCGTGTGCTTGGAGCACAACATTGAAAATTTATTCACACTAGAATGCAGCGGTTACTACAATTAATATTAGGCTACAAAACTAGTCCCAATAAAATAAAATAAAAATGAATATCATGTACACTAAAAAACAAAAACCTTTTTTTTTCTTTTCTAAAACGAAATATTCTGAGTCAGCCAGGAGTTCTGAAGACTGCTGGAAAAATGGGCAAATAAAGGCTGTAAGCCATCAACATTTCTGATTCTTAGCCACAGCCAACTAAAAAAGAAAATGTGAGGGTTTCCTTTTTACCGATATTTAGTTGATATTACTGTTTTCATTTTTTCTGTTTTTATTTTTACAATTTTGATATAATAACTGATCTAAGTGGGTTGCTCTGTGGGGAAAGGCACATTTTGCATTTATATTACTGTATGTTTTAGAGTCTCTATTCTCCAGTTAATGATGAATCACTAAATTAGTTGATGATTATTGAAATAATCAATTAATATGATTCATTTTTTTCAGCCCCAGATGAAATACATGAAATTGGCTACACAGAGTAACTACAACCCAGATGTTCAACTTTTATAGTGAAGTTAATATTTTAATGAATGTATTATTTTGCTTGATACAGAGAGAGAATAGTAGGTACAAATATTAGAGTGGGGTTTAACTCTGCACTATTCTATATCTTCAAAAGAAAATACTGTATTTATCTTCTCTCTTAGTCGTTCAAATGAAACCGTTTTCAAAGTGGAAAACAGTCCTAATTCCACATTCATCAGAGCCGGTGATACTTCAAACATTGATAAACAGCATCTAATGAGTGTAGAGCTTATAACATTTTTATGAATGGAGCAAAATGTTTTTCTCTTTTAACAATGAATTCCTCTTATCAGTACGGATGCTCACATTGAGCATAAAAAAGGACATGCATATTGCATAGCACCAATGACACCCAACCAATAGTGTCCCTACCAAAGTTCAAATCAAACCTACGCCCTTGCTTCATGTACATTAATAATTTCATAGATACTCACCATTACTTTAATTGGCTGAGACAGAGTCTCTGATCAGATCCATTCTTGTTATTTTTGCGGATTTTTTTTTCTCTCACAGTCGACGAAGATCAAGAAAGGAAGCAGAGGAGACACCAGTGTCCTGCAGCCCACTCTGATGGCAGCCGTCCCGGTATGTCCTGAGAAAATGCTCATAGCCCTCTTTAAGCTTTACTCTGTCGACCATTTATTGACTCTCCCTGAAGATTTTCAGGATTGACTTTGGCCTCATGGGCAACAGGACCAGACTTCATCTGGCGTTGATCATCCGTCCACTGAGAAATAATAATGACTGAACCCCCCTATTGGAAGACTTGGATGAACTTAATCAATGAGAATCTGCTTGTGTTTCGCTTAGCGTGCAAGTAGATGAGAAGCTATCGGTGAGACACCAGCAGTCGTCATTAAGACTACAGTCATGGCCAAAAGTTTTGAGAATGGATCAAAGTTAATATTCACAAAGTCTGCTGCTTCAGTTTTTATAACGGTAATCTGCATTTACTCCAGAATGTTCTAAAGAGTGATCAGCCTAACAGCAATTAATTGCAAAGTCAATATTTGCCTAGAAAATGAACTTTATCCCCAAAACACATTTCAGCTCATTGCAGCGCTGCCTTAAAGGAGCAGCTAACATGGTTTAAGTGATTGCTCCATTAGCGCAGGTGTGGGTGGTGATGAGGACAGGGCTGGAGATCAATCTGTCAGGATTCAGTCAGAATGACGCCACTGGACACTTTAAAAAGAGGCTGCTGCTTGGCATCATTGGTTCTCTGCTGTGAACCATGGTTATCTCTAAAGAAACACCTGCAGTCATCATTGCACTGCACAAAAATGGCCGACAGGAAAGAGAATGGCAGCTAGAAAGATTGCACCTCAGTCAGCAATCTATGGCATCATCAAGAACTTCAAGCAGAGAGGTTCCATTGCTGTCAAAAAGGCTCCAGGGTGCCAAGAAAGACCAGCGAGCGCCAGGATCGTCTCTGAAGTGTTCCAGCTGTGGGATCGGGCTGCCAGCGGTGCAGAGCTTGCTCAGGAATGGCAGCAGGCAGGTGTGAGTGCATCTGCACGCACTGTGAGGCGGAGACTCTTGGAGCAAGGCCTGGTCTGAAGGAGGGCAGCAAAGAAGCCACTTCTCTCCAGGAAAACCATCAGGGACAGACTGATATTCTGCTAAAGGTCCAGGGAGGGGACTGCTGAGGACTGGGGGAAAGTCATTTCCTCTCAGCAATCCCCTTTCCCATTGTTTGGGACATCTGGAAAACAGCTGGTTGGGAGAAGACCAGGTGAGTGCTACCACCAGTCTGGTCTCATGCCGACTGTAAAGCATCCTGAAACCATTCATGTGTGGAGTTGCTTCTCAGCCAAGGGAGTCGGCTCTCTCCCAGTCTGACCTAAAAACAGCCATGAATAAAGAATGGAACCAGAATGTCCTCCCAGAGCAACTTCTCCCAACCGTCCCAGAGCAGTTTGGTGATGAACGATGCCTTTTCCAGCATGATGGAGCACCTCGCCATAAAGCAAAGCTGATATCTAACTGGCTCAGGGAACAAAACAGACAGATGTTGGGTCCATGGCCTGGAAACTCCCCTGATCTTAATCCCATTGAAAACTTGTGGTCAATCATCAAGAGACGGCGGACAAACGAAAACCTTCTGCAGAGTGCAAAAGCTTAGTTTATTCCTCTTCACAGGTTGATGATTTTGTTGATGGAGTTACTAGTTCTCTGCGTACTGCCTTAGACAACGCAGCTCCTTTGAAAATGTTAAAAATAGAAAACTTGCTCCTTGGTTTAATACAGAGCTGCACACTTATAAGCAAAATGCTAGAAAACTGGAGAGAAAATAATCGCTCCACAGGCCTGTGGGAGTCCCTCCTAGTCTGGAAAAATAGTTTACTGCTGTATAAGAGGACCCTTTGTAAAGCAAGAGCAGCATACTCTCCTCATCAATAGAGGAGAATAAGAATAATCCTAGATTTCTTTTTAATCCAGTTGCCAAACTCACCTCGAGCCATAGCTCTGTTGAACCGTCCATTCCACCTGCTCTTAGCAGCAATGATTTTATGGGATTCTTTATAAATAAGTTTGATCTTATTAGAAATCAGATCATTAACACTCCTCTATCTGTGATTGGTTTGTCTCTGGAGGGGGGGCAGCATCTGAGGTAGTCATGGAATCTGAACCGGGTTTAGACTGCTTTGATCCAGTTGAACTCTCTGAATTAGCAAAATTATTGTCTTCATCTAAGCCTTCAGCTTGTATGTTAGATCCAGTTCCAACCAGGTTATTTAAGGAGGTATTCCCTTTGATCTCCTCCTCCATTTTAGATGTGATTAATCTATCTCTGTTACAGGGATATGTACCAAAGGCTTTTAAGGTTGCTGGAATTAAACCTTTAAGAAACCGTCTCTTGACCCAGATGACTTGGTCAATTATAGACCTATATCCAATCTTCCTTTCTTATCCAAAGTTCTTGAGAAAGTAGTTGCCAAACAAGTGTGCGATCACTTACACCATAATGAACTTTTTGAAGAGTTTCAGTCTGGCTTTAGAGCTCATCATAGCACTGAAACAGCTCTGGTGAAAGTCACTAATGATATTCTCATGGCCTCAGATAATGGACTTGTATCTGTGCTCGTCCTGTTGGATCTCAGTGCTGCATTTGATCCAGTTGATCATAATATTCTTTTAGAAAGACTTGAATATTTTGTTGGAATTAAAGGAACAGCTCTAGACTGGTTTAAATCTGATCTATCTGATCAAATTCAGTTTGTTCATGTTAATGATAGATCTTCCTCATGCTCAAAGGTTACCTGTGGAGTACCACAGGGATCAGTGCTAGGACCAATTCTCTTTACTTTATACATGCTCCCAATCGGTAGAATTATTAGACAGCATGGGATTAATTTCCACTGTTATGCTGATGATACCCAGCTATATCTGTCTATAATCCAGATGAAGCTAACCCATTACATAGATTACAGGCATGTCTGAAGACATAAAAACCTGGATGACTCTTAACTTTCTGCTTCTGAATGCAGACAAAACAGAAGTTATAGTCTTTGGACCAGAGTCTCTGAAAAAGAAGCTGATTAGTCAGTCACTTCATTTGGATGGGATTAAACTGATTTCAGATAATAAAGTAAAAAATCTTGGTGTTGTTTTTGATCAGGACCTGTCATTTAAATCCCAGATCAAAGAGGTTTCTAGAATTTCCTTCTTTCATCTGAGGAACATTGCAAAAATGAGAAATCTCCTGTCCAGGGGTGATGCTGAGAAACTAGTCGTTTAATTACTCCCTGATGTAACTCACTGTTCAGTATTCCTCCACTAGAAAGGGTTATGATAACAATGAGTAGGAAAAGCAAAGGTTGGCACTCAGTGTCTTCTCATGTATTAAAAGGCCATAGGACAAGATTGGAGCTGCTTTTTTTCTGACTATGATGGATCATTTGATCTTATTCTGGGCTCATTATAACAGGCCTTACTGAACAATCCATGTTCCTTCAGTTATGCTGCTCTCTGGCTCTCATGTAAGCAGGACAGTCCTCACCTCCCACCACCCCACATATCCCAGTGGAAGGGGTGTAAAGGCCGCAGTGTCCCAGTATCTGGAAGGGTTCACACATGTAAACAGAACGTGAGAAAGCCCCATGTGGTGTTCCCAAAGGCACGCACACACATCCAGGCTGTTTGCCTGCAACAAGGAGCTGCAGCCTCAGTCAGTTTGCTGCTTCCTCCCTCAGAGCAGGACCACAGCTGCTGTTTATTAATTAAACTTTGGACTCAGCGACACTGTTTAACTTAACACTAAAATAGGATTTTCAATTCAAAGTAACAAGGAGTAACTGTTTCATTGGGACTGGTGTTTTTATATTTAAGTAAAAAAAGAAAACTGCAGCAAAAATAAATAATGAGATATATTTTGGATTCAATATCTTTGAGAGTTATAGCCTTTCAAAATGCACCATGTTATAGTAAGCAGAAAAAGACCTGCTAAAAGGGTATTATGTAAGTGTACAGAACAATACTACCACCTGTGGTCAAAGAAAGAACTGCACCATTCTTGTGTTAAGTCTTGTAGCACAAACTCATGCAAAGGTCACTATGAATCACGAGATGTTTTCAGAGATAAGTAATTTTCTTAAATTTATTGTTTGAGAAACTAGGTTCTCAATTCTATATTTGACACTCAAAATGCAATAAACGTTCTCCGATACAGATTATCTGTTTTACTTTCTTTTATATTTAATGTAAATAAGTTCAACCGTGTCAGAAAAGGTTAAGTGTCTTAATCAAAAACATTGATCCTTAGTTAACCAGCAACATGAAGAATTAGGCGATTGTAGCTCATTGAGCCCATGTTGGTGTAATTACCAGGATAGCTAATAGTGAACATCAACTAGCTGTCAAACTATTTAATATCACAGATTCATATGAGTTACAGCCCACCTGCTGTTACCCTTTCTCTAAGTTGGTCCAGCACCGTCTGTTTTTGGGGGCGGGGCTTTATACATTCAACTAATGTCTAATAACAGTAACTTAATGGTTAATAACGTAACAGCCACACACTGCATCACAGTTATTGCTCTAAACCACATGTGTCAAACTCAAGGCCCGCGGGCCACATGTGGCCCGCCATGTCCTTTTATGTGGCCCGCTAGAACTCCCACAGCCGTCATTTTGATGGTTCTGAGATTTTAAAGGGAAAGAACTATATTTAAAATTAAATTTATGTTGCTCATGTTAACTGACTTTTCCAGTTTCTATATTTCCTTCATTTTCACTTTTTTTTTTAATACAATTAAAACGTAAAAAATAAATATGGTTAATTCTACCTCGATCCCCCACAACCGCCATTTTGACGGCTCAATTAGTTGCATTGTAAATTTCGTTGCCTAGCAACCAACATTCTACCTAGAACTTTTTGGCTAATATGGAAAAAGTGGCATTCAGAAGAAACCTAACAGCGAAACAGGCTTTAGAAACGCTTCAAAATATCGATGATAGTGATTCGGGCGGAGGGGGAGAGACCGATGAGGAGGACTGGGTAGGAAGCGGCTGTGTGACACGTGTGTTAGAGCAACAAGCAAGCATTTGTTTTCTATGCAACTGTAATTGTCACTTGAATGAGT